CGGCATTTGGCCTTATTAAACCTCATCCCATAGAACTCAGCCCATCGGTTCAGCCTGTCCAAATCTCTTTGGAGGGCTTCTCTGCCTTCTAGCAGATCAACACTTCCCTCCAGCTTGGTGTCATCTGCGAACTTGCTGAGGGTACATTCAATCCCCGCATCACTCAAGGTCATTTATGAAGAGATTGAAGAGGACTGGACCCAGCACTGAGCCCTGGAGAACACCACTTGTGGCTGTCCTCCAGCTAGACTTTGCTCCATTTACCACAACCCTCTGCACCCGACCAGCCAGCCAGTTTTCTACCCAGGAGAGGGTGAACTTGTCCAGGTCAGTAGCAGCCAGTTTCCTGAGCAAGATGCTGTGGGAAACTGTGTCGAACGCTTTGCTAAAGTCCAGATAAACTACATCCACAGCCCTTCCCTCATCCAGGAGGCGGGTCACCTTGTCATAGAAGGAGATCAGGTTGGATTGGCAGGACCTGCCCTTCCTGAACCCATGTTGATTGGGCCTGATCACTCGGTTATCTTGTAGGTGCTGTGAGATAGCACTCAAGATGACCTGTTCCATGACTTTCCCCAGCACCGAGGTCAGACTGACAGGCCTGTAGTTACCTTCAGACAGAGGATCTTCCCTCTGTCCTTTCTTGTAAATGGGCACAACATCTGCCAGCCTCCAGTCAAGTGGCACTTCCCTAGTCAGCCAGGACTGCTGGAAGATAATGGACAGGGGTTTGGCAAGCTTATTGCCTTTTTCTGGGTATTGTAGTATGTTAACAGTTACTCCACCAAGTTCAATAGTACATTTTCTAGGATGTTCTTCAATTTTCTGCATTTGAACTTTGTCAGCCAAAGCAGAAGTTAAACATGATTCTGAGTAAGTTTGATCTGTTGAACTGGAAAAGCTGTTTTCTTCAAGCCTGTATGTATTCTGCGGTTTTAATTGTCACAGAGAACGAACTTTGCATTCTGTTGGACCGTGTATATTTAAAGCTGTACTTAATAGTCATCTTTTGTGCTCAATTCAGAGTTCATTAAAGTCTAATGGGTTTTGGATCAGGTCCTTCGTGCACATTTCTTAATTGCTGGTGCCTCTGTTACCTAAATATTACCACAATACCAAAAGCAAGTGTTATGTTGGAAACAACTATATGAAATCAAATCCATGTCCTTTCACTGATTTGGAAAATGAATGCAGGTTAATGCTATTGTTCTTTCTTGTTTAAAGCTGAAAATAGAAAAATCTTAAATGAGGAAGAGGTTGAGAAGTGTCTCATAAACCTTTTGGAAACTGATAATGATGGAGTTAAAGTTGCTGCCTCCCAAGCAATTTCTGCCATGTGTGAGAATGCAGCTAGCAAATGTGCATTTCAACCCCAGGGTAAGTAAAGTGGGAAGGGATGAACTGAGAATCTGCTTTTCCTTTTATAAGGAGCATATTATAATTTTGCAGTCTGCTGTGGTTTACTTAAAGGTTCATGTACACAATTATGTCTTTCAAAGGGATTCCCCAGCTAGTGCAGTTGCTAAGCAGTGACAATGAAGAGGTAAAAGAAGCTGCAGTGAGAGCATTAGCTAATTTGACAGTAGACAGTCCTAGCAATGCAAGGTGAGTCTGCAATATTTAAATTATTATTTAAAATACTAATCTGAACACAAGTGATAATGTTTTGATTTTCTAGAATGCCTCATCTTGTCCTTACTCTACAAGGCATATCTGTAGAATTTGACTGTAAGGCACTTTTTGGTGCTTATGTGTCATCAGGAATCGGTTGGTTCTCGACAGTGTTACAGGAGTTATGGTATCACTACAAACATTTGCTTTATCAAGGAAAGGTATGAGGCAGATGTAATGAAAGCAGAGATGTAAATCATGTTTTGAAGATAACATAGGAGGAAACTATGCCTCATAATCTAAGACAGTAGATCTGGGATATTTTTTGAAAAGTCAAAATCAGTAAGGTATCCTTTAAAAGTTGATGGTTCATGCAACTTTTTTCACTGATTTAAACCCAGTCTTTGAGGGAGATAGCACTCAGATAATCTTTCTGTATACTGGCAATGTCTTTCTCTTTCTTTTTTTTTATTGTTTCCCAAGTAAGAAAAGAAGTGTTACTTCAGTAACTTCAGTATTCAGAATAACTAACAAAGGATTGTTAGCTGACTATAAATTCCAAAATAATTTTATCAACTAAATTCCATTGTCAGTTGCAGAGTTCTGTTATCCCAACTCTATTAAAAGTTTTATTCAGGGAAAAAAAGCAGAGCAGTCTGATGTATATAAGCAAACACATGTAACTAACAAACCATAAAATAAAATTCCATAAAAGTTTCCTGGAATATACTTAAGGAAGTTGTAATCCATTCACAGGCATTCTTTGAAGTGAAAAAGTAAAATAACTCACCAAATAAATTATTTATTTCAATGTATTGATTCGGCTCTAATAGTCACCAGTATTCACTTAATGTTACCAGATGGAGCCATAGTTTGACACAAGAGAATAATATTCTGTTCTCAGATTCACATAGTGGATTTTTTTTATCTAATACTCTGTTCTCCTCATGTGCATGACTTCAATTGGTGTCAGTGGGAGTCATACACACATAAAAAGAGCACAGTACTGGAGTCTAGGGGTCAAACTTTCAGCTCCGCTACAGCTGTTTTTCGTAGCACAGCCCTTTGAGGTTTCACATTGTGAAAAGGGAATCTCTGGAGAGTTTTGAGTTGGTATAGCAGCTTGCTTATGCCAACTCACTCAGTTTCTTTTGCCAAGGAGATAGTCAGGACATTGTTTAGCTTAACTGCTGGAACAATTCCCTGAGACCTCAGGCAGGGAAATAGCTGTCTCTGTTCCTCTGCATTATAATGTAGTCTGTATTTGTTTCTTGTTGGGCAGAGTCAGGAAATTGTAAAGGTGTCTTACATATACTTCCCTCTCTTTGCAATCCAGCTCCAAGTACAATATGGAAGCACCAGATAATCTAATCACAGGTCGTCTGTGAAAATTAGGAAGCAATAATTTACATTAAATATGTATATTGGATGAATGCCATGTGACTATATAATTACTTCAAAGCTTCATTTCTAAATCAAAACCATTAAGAAGTCATAGAAGGGTCCAAGTGTGACTAGGGTCTATAAATTAATATGTAGAGTTGAACCCTCAGCTGACACAAATTGGTATAGTTTCAGCTCACTGACTGAGTATCTAGCCAATATTTATTTTACATTCACATAATAGAAAAAAAATAGTTTGGAGAAAATGCATTCCAGATTGAATTACTGTAATCATATTTCATTCTGGATTATTTTGTGTGCGTGTCTTGTAAACCACTGAAAATAAGTATATATATATATATATAATGAAAATGCTTATGTACTTTATAATAATCTGACTTTGCTGTCTAATTGCTGAAGATTTGTTATTTTTAGGGATATTTGGTCAAGAAGTGTTGTCTGCTTTTCTTATAATATGGGGAAAAATACAAGTTAAAACAAATTGTGTAACTAAGGTTCCCACAATGTAATTAATTCCCACAATAGCTACCTCATAAGGATAAAGTCTTCCATTGATGAATAACACCAGAACAGCATAGGCAATGGGCAATACTACCCCCCACGAATGTATATTAACCTTGACCTTTAGGTGCTTCCCCACAGCAATGAAAGGCTATTTCTATACTGCTGCCTGATCAATCCTTTGTTTCTCAACTGAGACAGCTAATAAAGGTGTCAAATATGGTGGAGGTTTAGTAATTAGAACACCTGTTCACGATGAACGGGATGGAGACCAGCTTGTCATTTCACAGAAGTCCCCAAGCAACCACGATTTGGCAAAAAAAATAAATTAATGAATTACTCTGGCCCCTGTAATATTTTAACCAAAGATCTAGTGCAGAAGAGAACATAAGTCCCATACAAACAGTCTGAGTTTCCAGGTTTACTGGAAAACATAGATTTTTCAATATGATCTCTAACAGAACACATAAAAGTTGCTATAATTAACTTCTAAAATATTTTAGCATTCAAGTTTTTGCTACAATGCTGATGTTGTGTCATGCTTCAGTAGCACATAGGAAAAACTACAGTGGTCAAATGCCTCATTAGTTTACAGATTGATGCCCCCAGATGATGCTTTTTTCAGAATCTGATCATAAAGTAATGTCAGAATTTTAATGCTGCTCTATATTGATGACAAATTCTTTGTAAAGTCACTAATAGTTAGGCTAAATAAAAATAAAATTGCGAAGCATACTGCAGTTTAAAATCCCATGTACTTATTCTAACATATAATATAGTGACATAACAAAATTATTTCTTTATGTATTGCTCCAAGGCCATCCTTGACATATGTGTCAGAATTTGTTTCTGTGGTCTGTTTCTGGGAAGAAGAGAATTATGTTCAGCTGAGTATTTGGATCCGCTCCACATTTTTTTAATCCAGAACAATAACTTGCTTTGTTGAAAATGGTATCCAATTATTTGGACAGCAGTATGCCATTTTAAAGAATCTGTGATGTCTGTCTGTTCTTGATGTGTCCAAGCATCAGGAAATGTAGGCACAGTCACTTCAATAATGTAAATTATGCACAAATGGAAAAATTACACACAAAGAAAGAAACAGCAGTGCCATCTATTGGACAGAAAAATAAATTATTCTGTGCTATACAACTAACTACAGACCAAACGTTTTACTTCAGCCTCTCCTATTTTATCCCATTTAAAGTGTAATCAATTACAAATACTTTTCATGTATTTAAGATAAGCTTTTGTGTTAAATATAAATATGATATTAGAAGTAACACATTGAATTAAGATCTCAAGTGTACCTGTTAGATATTAATTTGACCAGCTCTTTTTTTCAGTATTGTCGTAGCACAAGTGCCATTTCTAATAGTTGTCTTCATAAATCTGGCAATGTCTGAATTCTGGGCACCTAATGGAGTTACCACTAAAGAAAAACATATGCTCTGAATTTTAGAGCTTTGTACTGGACATGAAAACTAATTAACAGCCTCAATAATATTTGTCTTAAATTGTTTATTTTAAGTGCAAAATTTATAGCATTCAGTTAGAGTTTGGTCTGGGAGAAGAAAGAAAGGGATGCTTTTTGTTCAGCTGTACTAAGGGCTGCAGGAGATTGTGGTACATGACAGACTTACGATCTGGCAGAATATTTCTCCTGGGGTTTATAATTAGTGTCATATTACATATTTCTAAATATTAGATCTGGATTCAAGATAGTAAAGTACCATCCCCAAAACTGCAGAGTCAGCAAGCTTAATGTTAGTTAATTTTATAATACTTTAATTCTTCACAGGAATCAGTGGACCTATTTATATTAGCAAAACTATGTCCTTTTCCAAATGCATCAGGATTTTCAAGGTTTTGGCATAGGAAGATAGGAATATCGTTTGGAAACTTACTGGTTATGAGCAGTGCCCAATGAGGAGAAAGTGAGTTGTTCCCTTGACTTCAGTGGGTGTTGGATCTATTCCAAACTGAAATTTGTATACTGATCTAATGACCCAAAATACATCCTCAGTCTATTCCATGTGGATAGTGCTCACCTGTAGTAAGAGTCTCTCACCTTCTTAAATGGAGATTTTCATCATCCACACCAGATTTTTATTGTTTTTAAGATGGGTATGGCTGTCAGAGAATAAATTTAAAGAATGTCCAGTTTTCTTACATTTCAAATTTTGTAATTATCGTTGGGGAGTTATATCATTGTCATCAGGTAGTAATATCATTAGGCAGTAATCTTCCATATTAGAAAATGGGAAACTTAATCATAGTTTTTCTCTTTCAAGTCTGTAGATGGAACGTAACTCACATAAATGGATCAATATTGAAGTGACGGTGTTACATAAGATAATACATTTGCATGAATACATATGTCAGTTTATGAGAACAGGAACAAAATTTCTAGTACATGACAGCTACATTTAAGAACAGAAATAGGTAATAATCCATTGTATAGGTTTAGTCTTTTTTATGGTTTAATGGATCTCCTTTAAAATGTAAGTTTGTGTTTCTGAAGGAGGGAATCAACAACAGAATGCCACTAGCTGTTTTGTGCTGCAAGGTAATATGTTTTAATACTGACCCCTAGTGACAGAATTATATTTTTGAGCTACTGTGCTGCAAGGTAAAGGGATTTTGTTGGGTTTTGTGGTTTGTGGTGTTATTTTTTACATTGCTACCCATTCTGCTGAGTCCCATGCAAATACAGTTAACTCATGCCATGAAGAGATTCCGGTTTTGTCTTTCTCTTATGATATATCCATGGTGTCACAGGTGCTTTCTAAAGGAAAAAAGACAATGCAGCCATTACCCAATAGCTCACAAGCTCTTCCTTACAAGTTGCATATTGACTTCCATTGAAAACTGCAAAATATTTTGTGGGAGAAAAGCTGAATCAAGGCCTGATGCTGGGTTGTCATCCAGAAGTGGGTTCCCACTATGACATTAACGTCACATCAGATGACTGATTTGCAACCCGTGGACAATATCCTAAATCATGCTGTGCTGGCAAAATATTTCACTCAGCCAGCTGCTGGTTTTCTCGTTTAGATTTGTGAATGTGTAGCTATATGGAAATATCC